CTCATCCAGAGCTTACAGGACAAAAACAGGTTTCCTGTAGGCAGAGACAAAAAGGGAATTAGAAATCAACTAGGAGACTAGGAAGCAACAAAGATTTCACAGAGGTAGTGAGGCTCAGGTGCTAACCAAACTGGATAAACACTGCGGCGTTGATGCGAGGTCTGAGGGCTGCTTATATGGTGGAGGATCCTCCTGATGACGAGATGGGCTTCAGGTGTGTCGAAGGCTCAGCTCAGGAGGATCCACAGCGAACTCTGCTGGAGACAGGTGGTACAGCTCCAGATCCCAACAGATTTTTACAATTCAAATAAACTTCTTTATGAATTAATGCTCTACTATATAAAAGAGTCTCACAAAAGCTGTGAAAATAGCTGCTCTAGTTCAACACAAGATATTGGTTAATGTAGCAGACCTGCTATAAATAATGCATTATATACAGATCACTAAAATCTTCATTGCTCCAAGCAAACAACAAAAGCATTCTTCTTTCTACTTTGGCACTTTTGGCTTTATTTCTGAGAATTTGCCCATTGTTAGCGCTGCTCAGCGCTCAAAATAGATTTAAATTCACATGGTTTTGATATTAAAAAAATACAGAGAGAACCTACATAATTGCCTATGTCAATCCAGACCTAAATTGAATGAATATGATACAAACATTTTGGGAACATTTTGGGAAATTCTCGCCTATTTTGCATACCCAAATGGAAAAGCAAATAACTTAGGAACTGTACGCCCATTACATTACATGTGCAATACATTATTTGAAAGCTAACACCCTCTAGTGTTTGGGTGAGTAGAACACAGATGACTCAAGTTGTTTTTTTATTCTCGAAAATGATAGGTCTTTTTTGAATACCAGTAATAAAGAAATGCTTGAGAATATGCAGCATACATTCTATTATATGTATTCTAAATCATGTTAATCACAAATGTAGACAATTTCAGAACTCTAGATACAACAGTTCCGGAGCTGTGGGGCTTTGCACTTTTGGTGTCACCAGCATCTACAAAATTTCCAAATGTGCCAAATTGTCCAAATGGTTTTACTATGCTTTGCTTTACTATTTCACCCATAGAATAACACTGAAGCATTTTGATGGCCACAAAATATTCATGAAGGATGTATTTCCCACTTTTTTCAGAATCAGTTTATATAACAAAATGTAGAATTTTTACACCTATAATAACGTAAAAATCTATAAAAGATAGCGAAACTGCTGCTTTTCAAGCTAAAATAAGCCCCAGTGCCTTTTCTGAGCTGAATATATAATTTTTTCAGCCTTAGGCATTGTAATAAAACAAAACCCGTGTCCAAACATTAAAAAAAGGAATTGGAATAATAAATAAAAATCACGTAAACACTGAAGGTCAACAGTTCCATGATACATTAAGCTTAAATGTTAAAAAGTGTCGGTATCGTATCGATATCTGCAATCTGACCCTTTATTTACTTGGTATCTTATCAATTGAAAATTCCCAGTATCGCCCACCTCTAATTACTTGTAATTTTTGTTAATGAAAGATCCATGTTTAGCTTGTCAGTTTTCGTTATCGACATGAACAAAAGGAGTGTCAACGAAATGATTCCGTCATCCTTATCACTGACGAAAAACAACACTCAATGATAGATGGATAATGGATGGATGATGGATGGATAATGAATGGATAGATAGATGGATGGATGCATGATGGATATATGGATGATGGATTGATGATGGATGGAGGATGGATGATTGATGAAGGATGGATTATGAATGACTGATGGATGAAAGGTGCTCAGTACCCGAATCTCCTCCAGCTCAGGTCGGTGTGGGTAATATATCAGAATATTGGAAAATATGCTAATGGCTGGTTCTGTTTCTTCTCGTCGTGCAGATTGGTGATGTGAAGGAACAGTTTGAAGAGCTTCTGTCCAACTATCAGATTACAGAGATTGAAGGTGTGGAGATGAACCTGGAAAACAGAATGAAGACCCTCCAAAATGAGCTGACACTGAAATATTTCAGAAAACACAAGATCCCAATTTGGTCCCAGTGGGCTCTGGACCAGGCAACTGGATATGTGGATCTGTCTCTGACCGAGAAGATCAGTGTTTTGGAGGCGGTGGTGAAGGTGACACTGAAGGCTGAGCCAGAGTTTGAGGAAGGACCAGACAAGAAGATTGCATTTCTCTTCAGTCTTCAAGATCAGCTGCATGTTAGTAGTCCAACATTGGCAAGAAAAGTCTTGAGAAATGTTCTTGATATGACTTCACAGCTTCCCAAAGCAAGTAAGGAGATCCTAAGCCGAATACTATTCAATAACATATGGACACCAAAGGAAATCCAGTTGTTCATGGGAAGGACCCTCAGCATGGAACCCAAACAAATCACCCAGATCCTCCACAAAGTGTGCACCTACAGACTTAGCTGCCTCCAGGCTCTCTGTGCACTGAAAGACAAAGATCCTGTAGGCTACATGCGGGGATGTGCTTCATGCCAGTTGGACAAAGATGCTGCCACCATTGTGGCTGAAATGCAGGACAAGAACTACCCACAGCACATCATGGCCCTCCTGGAAGGTATTTTGATTTATGTTGAGGAAGAGCTGCCCAAATACAAGAGAGCAGAAATGAGTGCCAAGAGGGTTAAAGACTGGAAAATAATGGTAGCCTCCATGGATTTATCCAATCCAAACACTGCCACTCTGAAGGAGGTCCTGATTGGGCTGTCCATAGCTGTGAAGACATGCAAAACCTTCACCACCTCAAGAGGGAAAAGGGTACAGGGTTACTTCCCCAGACTGACTCAGCTGGCTTCATTAGTTCTGCTGCTGCTGCCACACTCCCAAGATAAGAAAGGTTGTCTCCTGGAAATCGGAACCGGGGAGGGAAAAACTTGTCTGTTAGCCATGTTTGCTACGATCCAAGCAGCACGTGGCACAGCGGTGGACATTGTGACGAGCTCTCCTTTGCTTGCTATCCGAGACCAACAAGAGTGGAAAGAACTGTATGAACTGTTTGGTGTGAGCTCATCCCCGGTGCCGCCCCCACATCTGGACAAAGGCTCTTTTGAGAAGCAGGATGAGCTGCTTAAGGAGGCCTACCAGAAGCAAGTGGTCTACGGTACCGTCAGCACGTTTGCAGCAGATATCCTGAGGCAAGAGTTTGAGAAGAAAACCACTCGAGGGCGCAGGAACTTTGAGTGTGTGATAGTGGATGAAGTGGATTACATGACACTTGACAGCGGGGTTCAAGTGACCTTCCTGTCCCACCAGGCCAGTAGTCTGAGGCACCTTGAACAGGTCCTGTCAGGTATTTGGGCCCTGGTCTCAGCCTGCCGGCCCATAGAGCTGTACGAAACCGGGGAAATCCAGTGGGCAACCAGGATCCAACCCTTCCACAGTACTCTGAAACAAGCCGGGATCGGGTCAGATGCTTTGTCAGAAAGTGACATCCTGGCGCAGGGCGTGCGGCTGGGCTTTTATTCACAGACGGATCTGGATGAACTGAAGGAGGCACAAGCACAGTCAGAAAAGCACAAGGCCACTGAGAACATCATGGCCAAGATGGGACCCGAAAAACAGCACCAGCTGCTAATGGCCCTTAATGCAGATGCAGCAGATAGCAAAGTGGTTGTAGCCTGTTACTCACTCATCAGCAGCAAAGCCAAAATGTTCGGGGGGGGCTGGTCTTCTGGAGACCCGGATGTCAGCATGCTTCTGCTCCAGAATGGACTGGCACGTGAACTTATGTCTGAGAAATCCCTCATTGAGGCAACTGTTGACAAGTTAAGATCTCAGATTAAATATTCTGGTGAATGTTCCCTACAGTCAAAGAAGAACTGCGATGAATTTATTGTGATTCCATCCTTTCTGAAGGAATATGTTGAGCAGCAGTTGCCAGTTTTTGTTGAGAATGCCCTAAAAGCCATCATCATGACTCCAGGAAGAGAGTACATGATTGACAAGGTTGCGGAAGCAGACAGAGCTGGTGTAATTGACCCCGACAACCACCAGTATGATGCCATCATCCCAGTGGACTTTCAGGCCAGTGGAGTGCTGGAGAAGAACAAGCGCTGGGGGGACGGCCTGCAGCAGTTTCTGGAGATGAAGCACCAGCTGGCAATCTCACAGATGTCCAACGTAACCAACTACATGTCCAATGTTTACTTCTTCAAAAGGTACCTCAGTGGAAAAGGCATTTTTGGTGTCTCTGGGACATTAGGGGGCCACGCTGAGAAGGCCTTCCTGGGACGGCAGTATAAGACAGAATGTTATGCCATTCCAGCCCACCGCCATAAGAAGCTGGTGGAGCTGCCAGCTGTTCAGGTGAGAGAAGGGAATCCTGCCTGGATGCAGGCCATCTGTGAAGCTGCATGGAGGGCTGCAGACAGGGGGCAGGTTGTCCTGATCATCTGTGAGGATGTTAAGACTGCAGACCAGCTAAAGGCTGAAATACAGGGCCCAGGGAGGAAACTCAGACAGATCACCATGTACACCATCAGCGCCAAGCACAACATTGAGAAGCAGATGTTCAGCCAGGGACACATTATCATAGCCACAAACCTGGGAGGCCGCGGCACCGACGTGCACGTGGACCAGGAAGTAAATGAGTGTGGAGGACTCTTTGTGCTTCTCACCTACTTTCCTGGGAGTCACCGCGTGGAGAAACAGGTCTTTGGGCGCACGGCCCGGAAAGGTAACCCAGGAATGGTGCAGATGGTCCTCAACCAGGAACATCTAGCAGCAGTCTACCAAGGACATTCAGTGGAAACCATGAGGCAGCTCAGAGAGGAATTCGAGGTCAGCCGCTTAGACAGCATGGAGAGAAACGAGCTGTTCCAAGTTGAAACTAAGGAGGAGCTGTTCTCCACATTTTGCAAATTTCTCAGTGACTTTGACAAGAATTACACTCAGGAAGAGAGAAGCAACATTTCAGAAAGGAAGCTGAAGGATGTCCCAGCCTGTTTTAAGGTCCATTGCAGAAAGTTGGACTACCAGGCTGCCCTCAAGGCTTTGAAAGAGTCTTGGGCTCTGTGGCTCATCCTTCACGAAGAGCACATCAGCCAACATCAGGTCAAAACGCTGAGAGATGACCTCCTGAGAGACCTGAAGAAGACTGCTGAGCAGCTCCTGCAGGGCAGAAGCAGCAGTTTCTATGACTACATTGAAGTGGCCAAAAGCAGAACCGACATGCACCGACTCAACAAAGAGGAGAGTGACTATGGAGCTTTATCTTACTGGCAGAGAGCTGCAGAGTGCGATCCTTTCTACAGTGCTGTGGCTCTTTATAACCAGGCATACATCACAGTCAACTTGTGCAAGAGCAACTACATAACAGAGGCAAAGAGGTTATTGAGGGAGGCAGAGAGAGCAGTGGATGCTTATCTTTCAGAGACAAGCAACACCATGATGTTCTGTAATTTCTCTGTGAGCAAAGACTTTGCCCCCCACCACGAACATGGCAACCTGCAGCACCAAATGAAAGCCAGGATGAGCGTCTTCAAGGCATGGAAAGGATACATTGAGAATGCCCTGGAAACTCTCCAGCAGATTGAAACCAGCAAAGGCCAGGCCTTAACACTGGATTCCAGTGTCTACAGTCTGTCAAGAGACCAGGATCCAATCACCACCAAGGAGCTGATGGTCCTCCATGAGTTTGGCCTCTGCATGGTGTTCCAGGTGAAGAAGCGACCTGAGTTCTGCATTGATGCCCTTTTGTGTTTTTGTCTGGGTGTTCTGCAAGTAGCAGCTGGTGTCCTGGTCTGTACTCTGTCAGGTGGCACTGCAAGTCAATTTGGACTTGCACTGATCAGTGAGGGAGTGTCTGACATGATTGATGGGGTCAAGAGCATAATACAGGGAGGCTTTGACTGGGCAGAGTGGGCAATCTCTAAAGCCATCAGCATTGGAGCGTCTCTGGTCTTTGGAGGCCTGAGCAGACTGAAGAAAGCTGTAAGCGCTGTGAGTAGTGGAACCAAAGGACTGGTCACTGGGGCTAAGACCTGCTCTGTCTTCACAGTTAAACAGTGTTTCAAACATGCAGCAAAGTATGCTGGTCAGGAAATACTGAAGCAAGTATCTAACACCACTCTGAACTATGCTGCTGACAAAGGTCTTGAAGCACTGTTCAAAAGGGTTCTGAGAGGGGCCTTCGAGACCAAAGTGCTTTCATTGATCAGAGCTAATGGTCCTCTGGAATCACGTCTCAATGGCCTCATCTGCTCAGCAGTGCCAAAGACTGCGATGAAACAGGAGTCTTATGGCTTCAGAATTGACAAAGGATGTGAGGGAGAGATGCGTCAGTCAGTTCACGTGTTGACAAGAAGCATCATTCCTGATCTCATGACGGATTGCACCAAGATCATGAACATTCTTGATAGACTTTCAGAGGCCTCCGGAGCTATAATGCAACATGTGGAGAAAAAGGGAGGCTTGAAGTTGGCCATGAAGTTTTTCGATACGGGTAAATACATAATAATTTGCAAACAAATACATGATTCCTTTCCCTCAGAGGACATCATCAATAATAAATTCATCCCTCAGTTGTTGGAAGCAATGAATGATCTTCCTAATGAAAAATATGCCTTGGATGAAAGGCAGCAGTTACCAGATGTGAAGCGCCTTAAAGACGACCTCATCAGCATCATGGCAGAAAGTGTTCTAGACTCATTGGTGGCGGCTTGTTCCAGGCACATGACCTCTCTCATGAACAGAGCCTGCATGCACAAAATCAGCAACGCTGCTGGAAGCACCGTCAGCAATTTACTGGGCAGGACCGATACCCAAAATTTCTTTGACAACCAGGTTTATAAGAACCACATGAAAAAGGCTGTCCAAAGACCAAGTCAGTCCCTATCTGAGGCTGAGCAGCAGGACTTAGAGCGCTACATTGAGGGAATCAGTGATAAGAACCAACCTGCCACAGCACTGGACATCCATGTCCTCACCCAAAGCGACTCCCTTCAAGGAAAAGGCATCAGACTGATTGTGGTTGACGAGCATGAGAGCAAATTGACAGAGGATTATTTTCCAGGGAAAGACAGCTCTGCCGAAGACATCGTGATCCGACTGAGGAGATACCCGGACGCTCCACAGCAGTGAGTATTATGAACAGGATGTGTGTGACTGAAGGGGCGTTTCTGTAAAATATCACAGAAAATGTGTTGATCCTGAAGACGAATATTAAAATCTGCATTAGTCTTCAACTTTAGATGATCAGATAATTATGATCATAACCAGACTCTGTGACCACAAGGTCTTTGGTCATTTGGAATTTTGCAAGAATCTCCCAATAACATTTGCTGTATTCCTTTTTTCTCTGATACAAGTTGCTGGCTAAATGAGACATTCAGGTGCCATGAGTTACTACCTGCTTGTACAAGCAACCTTTTCAGCCCATCTGTTTAGCTCTTCATGGGCAGACCAGCTCATTGTGTTTGAGGAGCTTCATACAGGAGTCTCTTAAGCTGATGAGAGATTCATCTGAGGAAGAGATCTATGGTCCTATAGACCTAGGAATGACCCATTAAAGCTGTCATCTCCACAGGGCTTCCATCTTCTGCAAGGCTTTAAAAGGAGGTGGAGAGGTCTGCTCTTAAAGAAACACACAATGTAAAGGGGCTCCATGTTTTCCAACTCCAACTTTGCAGTGGTGGGTTTGGCTAGTTAGATGAGCCAAGCAAAGGATCAAGGTGGCAAGCCACACCTGCCACTTGAACCTTAAGAACATAAAATAGAAGAAAAGCAAGTTGACTCTTTGAGTATCAAACCATTCAAAGGTTTTTAGAAGGGAGCTTTGAGTGATTCAGATTATTGACATTTTAAAATAATGTGATAAACAGGGTACATTTCACAAGTTTCTATTCCTTATACATTTTTCTTTGGGGAAGAGTTGGTCTGGGTTCTAATGGGTTAAGGATGCATTCAAATGTTTGGCCCCATAAACGTTTGTTTTCATGAGCTGTAATTGAGGGCAACCTCTACATGTCTTTACTAAGATCAGAACTAAAAACAGCAACTGTCTAGCTCAAGTGGTAATTCACCTGAGTGTCACACAGAAGGTCCCGGTTTGAATCTCAGGTTGTCACATCAGATCCTTCACACTAATGCCTACCTCATTGTCACATTGTACTTTGTGCAATGTTTTGGATTAAAGCATCAGCTAAATGCAGACATCCCAAGACATCCCAAGTTCCAAAAACTCATTTCAGGGAGACTCATTACAGTGCAACCCGCCACAGTGTCATCATTCCTCACCATGGCCGGTTCTAGACAGGGGCCAACGGGGGCCAGTGCCCCTGTAGATCATGTCCTGGCCGCGGTACTGAAAACATAATACTTAAAAGAAATTCTAATATCATCATCGGAGACGCTGGAACAGACATGGTTAGTGATAGCTCCTTTAGATTTATATTATTCTTTTTCTTTACAAGTTCTGTTTTACTAATTATTCAAAAACAATAAGGTGATAGCTTCAGTGGTATCGAGATAGGATCCCAATTTTCATCTGCTAAATGCTTTTTTTTTCACAAAAGATGAATAAAAAATACTCTACTTTTTACAGATGAATTTAACAGTTTTTCTTGACTTCTAACTCAAATTTTATAGAAAGCGGTAGTTTAAACTTAAATTAGGTAAAAAAATATGTAAAATTCCTAAATTATAAATGTATATTGACCTAATAAGTAATAGAATTTTTATTTAAGCTAACTGAGAAGAAATGTCACTTCATGCAGCTTTCTAAATATATTTTAATCCCTTGCCCTGTTTAAGGACCCTTTTATTTCATGCTTTTCTGGGCCCCCATGAAAACACTCTGGCCCCCTCCTGGCCCCCTGGTACATTGGGTCTAGATCTGCCACTGTTCCTCCCCTTCACTAGATGTGGATGTACTTTAGTATATTCTGCTGTAAGATTAGTCATTTATTTTCGTTTTTTACTCGAGGATTCAACCTCTGCCGTTTCCCAAGATGCACAGCTTTGAGTGGTAACTAGGTGACTGCCGTAGAGTAACCCAGAGAAACTTATCGGATTGATCCAATCAGCTCTCTGATCAACCAGTCGCCTGGAACGCTGGTTGATCAGAGCATCGCTTTGGAAAGATACGCTGAACAGGTTTCACAAGCAACCTCCTCCCCACACCCCGCTCTCTCTAATTGTCAGCACAATCAAAATAGTTCTAATCCGCACATGGTGCACGAATTATTGTACTGCCTGTTTGCAGGGGTGGATCTAGAAAAATATTTATGGGGTGGCGAGAGGGGGGCAAGATCTTTGAGGGGTGGCAACATATGGCATTTGTTTACACTGAATTTAATCACAGTTATCACAGTTTGGTGAGAATAGTGTGTACAGTAAGTGTTTCATAATAGAAATAATTCAAACAATGTGATCTCACTTAATAGGAGATAGAAGAATGATAACACTACTTCTAGAGACACATTATCACAGGAAAGGTATTAAGGTAAGACACAGGTGCTGAGGTGTAGATGTGTGAGATTGATTGTCAGAGAGGCAGCTTTGCAGCATTTTCACAAGAAGAAACTATAGAAAGAAAAACTAACCCATCAGAGATCTATGGACTGAGCTGTACTAAAGTGAGCATAACTACACAGTAGAAAAAATGGGTCAAGGCACCCACACAAGGTACCAGACATCCATGTACTGTATTGTTTACTCTGAACACACATTTACCCCATTTGTACCTCAGTAACTTGACATACAGCAGTTACGGCAACATGAAAGGGACATTTCATGCATGTAAATATGCTGTAGATAGAGCTGCTGTATCAACAAATCAACAAAAAGGCAGGTACTGTATGTTACATCAAAATCTCAACAAATCTGAAAAGAAGCAACATAAAAATACATTTTGCTTCCAGTCTGAAAAAGTTCTAAACATTTTGCAAGTAGGTTCATACAGGTAATTTCTGGATATTTTGATACTATGAATACAAAAAAAGAAACAACAACACTGTTTCATATTAAGCAGGATTTACACCAGTATCACATTTTTAACTTTACTTTTAACACTTTTGGTTTTATTAAAGGAAATATCAGATTTTCTCAGGTGCCAAAACAAAATGTAGCAGCTCTGTAAAGGCTCACCAGAGAGCATAACATAAAGTTAACATGACTATAACAGCTAAATGCAATGATTTCCATGTTGCTCTGCAGAACACTTCACAACTTTATTTAGATCCAATGCCTTTTTGCGTTTTGATTTCAGTACAACCAAACTTGATAGTCTCTTTTCTGTCATAGTTGACCGCAAATATGTCTTTATGAGCCTGAGATGTCAGGCCTAACTAACATCTTAGATAGAGACATAACTTTTTGCAACCTGATTTTTATCATCTCAAAATCAGCATTGCAGCTATGCTAGCAACATTGTGCTTTCATTCTGATTTTATATAATGAAATCACAATGAAAGCACAAATATATATTTTATATATTTTTATATATTTCTCGATAGATAGTTAATCAGTTTTGACCTATTTCATCCCGTGTATCCTCTCCCCATGACCCCTGGCTCCCTCGCTTTGCCCCATTCGGTTTAAAAAAAAAAACAGTCTCAGTCGCTCTCGCATCATCTCGTGCTGCATTCACTGCAGTCCGAAATTGGAAATTAGCGGTCGTAATTCTCAACTTACCCATAATTTATAAGCCTTTCCACCCCTACCGCCAACTGGGGTGGCAGCAGGGGTGGCATGGCTGTCATTTAGGGTGGCATTTGCCACCCTATGCCACCCCAGTACATCCGCCTATGCCATTTTGTTTCACTCGCATTACAAAAACACCACTTCCCATAGTCTAACATCCAGGATAATTTATCAGACTCGCGGGCATCAGTGAACAACTATCTATATCAGGGATACTCCCGGAACTTCCAGGAGACTTGGGATGTCTGTAAATGCATACAAAACAAACAGACCTCCAAAGCAGGCTAGAGACCATCCCTTGTCAGGTGTTACCATGACAAGGTAGCAGGCTCATGAACCCAGAACAAAACAGATTAGGAAAGGCATCCAAATCCTGGTCAGGTTAGTATGAGGGTAACCCATCTGTGACCGGGACCGACTCCCAGCACTTCTGGCCATGTAGAAAATTAGAGTTTGAACAAAAGCTAAAGCCATCTTTCATCACTATGCTGTTATACCCTGAACCCGGATCTCGTTGACCCTAGATCTTCCTCTTCTACCAGGACACAGGGGTTCTTCTCAAAGATGAAGAAACAGGCTCGAGGTGAGCAGACCCCCCAAAGAGGACACTTTGAGCTGGTTGGAGCGGACGGCTCTGTGATCCCGGTGTATTCAGAGGGCCAGAACTGCCTGTATCATGCTGTGGTCCAGGCCACCCAGGGGAGCCCATCAGACCTGAACCAGCAGGCGCTGGCCCTCCGAGCCCAGGTCCAACGCACTGTGAGTAGTTCTTACACCAGCTCTGCTTCAGGACTTGCACCAGTAGCAGCAGACACAGATGACAGAGAACATTATAGAGGAATTACACAGAGAAGCTTGTGTTGCATGAACCAACAGCACCAAACGCATTCAACAAGTTCTCCTCAATGAGCAGATCCACTCTTTAACTTTTGGTCCTTCTATCTCAGTTTGTCCAGCTTCTGCTTCCATGTTCTCTGGTGTGTTTCCTCTTCCTGGTTCCTGCTGCCATCTGGGGTCTGCTTGGGGTCCATGTCCTGGCTGACTGGTCTGAAGTTGGGCTGTAAGGGGCTGCCAGGACTAAGGCAGCTTCTCCCTGACGTTCAGGCCTTTCACAGCAGCACAAGCATTGCAAACACAATCCAACCAGTGTCTGTTGTGGTGTCCCTCTCAGCTGCAGCAGGATGTGCAACGATACACACCAGCTCTGAGGTTGCAGAGGCAATACGAGCAGACGCTGGCAGCCAGGAGTTGCTACACCATTAGTGGAGGGGCGAAAAAAGAGCGAGAACAGATGATGGAGGCGTATCAGCAGATGCTGAACAGGATCCGGATCAACAACCCAGAGCTTTACCAGCTCATGAAGACCTACAAGCTAGGACTGGTGGGGGCGTACCAAGAGTGAGCTGCTTTTTACCTGCTCATCATGAAAAGCAACATCATTTAGCATCATGACAGTCTCATCTGGACCAAACCAAACTGTTTTCTCTCTGAAGTGTAATAGGTGTCCGGCGGGAAAGCGGATCTCCCAACAACAACGGCGACCCTGTTATGAATGCAGACCACATCCCACCCAGAGACTGCCTGCAAAAGGCCTATGACATTCTGCAGCAAAAAGGGAGGACAGAAGCCTTCAGGACCGAGCATCCAGCCCTGTACAACATAATGGTGCAAAAAGACAAGCAGCTGTGCAGAGAGGTGCTGGCTCAACACCACCGGATGGCCCTGACCACCGGCAACAGCAGGGAGGCTCGTAGCACCAGGTGAGGCTCCCTACTCTGACTGAAGCCTTCTCTGGTGATGGCTGAGTAATTTCCTCTCTGCTCACAGGGCTGAGCTGACCAAGGTCCTGCTAAGCGGAGACAGTGTGAAACTGATGAAGATGTCACTACTCCTGTCCAATCCAGAGGTGTCAGAGTCTCTGAGAAGGGATGCAGGTATGTCCCCGAAGCTCCTGAAGACAGTTGCATACCTGTTAACATTGGGTTGTGAAAATTAGAGAGATTTTGTTAATCTGTAAATTGGCCTAAGGAACAAAGTTCCTCCACCAGGGGTGTGTGGACTGGTACCATTCCTTTATTCTAAACCTGATGAAAGAACCTTCTTCTGAGAATGTTTTTGTCTTTGATATTCAATAATTGATTCCACTTACCATTGAATACAGTAAATAAATGAGCAGTTCTACTAGTTGAACTGAGCACCAGAAGGCTGAATAATGAGGGAGAATGGTTCCAGCCCTGAGGCCTTTGCTTGGTGTCGGGATCCAGTCTACAGATGGTCAGTGTGTTAATCCACTGTGGTGAAAAGACAGAAAAACCCTATTGGTACACCATGGTAACCATGGCTGAACTTACAATTTTTGGACCAAGAATTCATCCTTGGTCACCTTTTCTCAACAGCTCTATTGGGCTTCCTGTTTGGCTCAAGCAGGACTTTTTTTCTGTTGTCATGATATAACCTTTAGTTAGGCTCAGTAAAGCATTTAAAAACTGGGATGGTCTTTATAAACTGGGCTAAGGTTTATAAACAGGTCTAGGATTTATACACTGGGTTAGGGTTTCAAAACTGGGCTAGGTTTTATAAATTGGGTCAGGGTTTATAGACTGAGTCAGGGTTTATAAACTGGGTTGGTGTTTATAAACTGGGCTAGGTTTTATAAATTGGGCTAGGGTTTATAAACTGGGTCAGAATTAATAAACTAGGTCAGGGTTTATAAACTGGGATAGGGTTGGTAACTAACTCAGCCCAGATGGTAAAACTCATAAGTTTCCTGTTAAGCAGCCAGAGTTTCCAGCAGACAGAGACAAGCTGAGGCTGACAGGGTCAGAACCCAGCAGGTTCAGACCCGCTCAGTCTCCCTGAACCTAAACTAGCTTTCAGAGCATAACTCTGACATGAATCCTCTGATCTGAACCAACCAGGAATCAGCCGAAAGCAGGTCATGGGGAATGACCTGTCTGGAGAAGAGATCCAGGTGTACCACGAAGTGGGAAACCGACTGCTGGTGGATGGCTACTCAGCATCAGGGCTGTTCACCAACAACCAGAGAGAGGAGCTGCAGGACTGGCTGGACAGGGGGCAGCTTTACTCTAAGGAGACAGCAGAGTACCAGCAGCTGCTGGCCGCCATCGGAGACGCAAACAACAAAAAGCAGCCTAAAAAAAACAATCTCTAACAGCAAAACCAGGCTCAGTGTGAGCGGCCATCTGCCGAGGCCGACTGGGATTCAAGGAGGCAGATGAGCTCCAAACCAGCTTCCATGTCAGAGGATGAAGAGAGCACATCCAGTTAGTCACAGTCAGAGAAACAGGACTACTGCAGCACAGCTGAGTCAATTTGAATGTAACCCCACATAGCCTCAGGCAGCCGATTGTCCCGTTCCCACTAAGCCCAGCATCCAATCAGTGGCCCGTGTGGGCAGGTGATTCTCAGCAAACAGCGTCAGCAGCGTTATGTAAGGACATGTGTTTGTCACTAGGCAACAACGCCTATAGGTGAAGGCATAAAAACCATCATCCCCCACACACACACACACACACACACACACACACACACACACACACACACACACACACTCCATCTGATAATGTGCTAAAAGTGAAAATTGATGATGTACATGTATTATACATGTATTGCTTACATTGCTGTGGTAATTACATATTACATATAATTTCACAATGTTATCGTATCTTTCTATTTGCAAATTGTGCATGCATGATGCCATATAGCAGGGATCAGCATATTGGAGCCATATTGGAGCAAAACAACAAAAAACAAATCTGTCTGGAGCTGCAAAACTGTAAGTCTTCTATAAGCCTCATAGGGCAACATGGGCTCTATGTGTATTAGCCCACTATAATAAGGACTACGTGGGCTTAAATATATAATAATTTTGGGGATTTGGGGCAAAAAATATGGAAGAAAGTTCCTATTCATGCATCAGAGCGCTACCTGTTGGATCTTTTACCAGTTTTCTATGCTTGCAACAAAACTAGCAACAGTAGTGGAGTTTGGAGATACAATCTACTTCAAAAATCTATCTTTGCTCTCCTCTGACTTCAGAAGTTCTGCAATCACACATTTGCTCTCACTCCCAGCTTCATGGTCGGCTGCATATTTAGCCTTCCCTGGAAATGCCTTTCAAAATGACCCTTTATTTTTTGACAAACTCTCATAACAAAGCAGAATGCAGGCAATAGTAATGAAAGCAAAAGATTTGCTCCCTTCTTCTTTGAATCCTCTGTTCTCATCAGCTATCTTCCTTTTTTTCCCTTTGGGATCCATGGCCTGAGACACAACTGCCACTTTGTTTGTCTGGCACCTTGCCGTGCTGAAACCTGTGCTGCAGGCTATGACCTCTGATCTCTATGTCTATGATGCAAATTTTCATTGAAAGAAATATTTACATTTATTGTTTAAATTTATTTATTAAACCCATGTTTACAGCATTGGAAAACATAATGAATGTTTTTTTGACCTCCTGCAAACCATATTAAAATAAACAAAAATAAATAGCTCCAGGGAACCACAAGGGGGTGCTAAAGAGCCACAGTTGCTGACCTCTGCCATGTACTTTTATGCTGCGTCTGTGTATTAGTCTTTAAATCTGACACTGATTTAAAATAGAGCTAAATTAATTAACCAATTTAATAACTCCACAGAGCTTCAGTTTCTACATGTGCAAAATTATATAAGTTTGCAAAATATCAGGCAACATTAAATTCATATTTTGCTTTCTGCTCATAGTTACAACAAGAATCTATGAATTTGCATCAACTATGCATACAGCTACGTATGCACACACATGTACACAAACACACACATATACTATCCAGTGATTGAATACCTTTAATTATATAAGTTGCACATGTAGTTAAATTTGACAGCCTGTCTCATTTTAAAACTCTTCTTAAAACCCACCTGTTGTCTTTGGCTTTTGACACCATGTAGAGTGTTGATTTTATGTATACACATGTTGATTTTATGTATACACATGCATATTTTTATTCTGTGCGGGCAGTACTTTTATTTCATTTTATTTACTTTTATTTATTTTAGTTATTTTATCTTTTTTGTGCAGCACTTTGGAAACCTTGTTTTTTTTTTTATCGTGCTATATAAATAAAGTGGATTGAATTGCATGTAGTTCTAATTAAGATTCAAATACAGATAAATATGTATTTAAATTATATATTACAGCCTACGTTAATAACATTTGAGAAATGTAATAAAAAT